TACTGTTACATTCAGCTGGCACATCTGCTGATCTCCATGACTTGTATGGTGGTATGATCCAGATACTTGCTTCAAGGTCTCAATGGCTTCTCATTCCATGTATTCTTCCAACAAATAGTCTGAAGAGCAAGTAGCAACCACAGCTAATTGTTCATTTGAACTCTGGCTGTGTCCCTTGGCAGAAATATTCCACTTTGAAAACCAAAACTCCTAAATCTTCAGAGCTCAGAGAATGAAACAGAAATTCCACAGTGTATTATTGGGAATGACAGTGGGTAGAGCCAATACTGTGTTCACTCCTTGATTTCTGGGCCTGTATACTCTACCTACTGAGGACCATATCACTGATCTCTTAAAGGATGGCAACCAAACTCACAGGGTATTATCTCTGATCTGACTCTTCAGCAATACCTTCTACAGATTGTTCCTTCAATAGACTTTCCCATTATTCCATCATACCAGCAGCTTCTAAAAGCTGTAGAATGATATAAGCTGGGATCCCATGGTCATATACATACTGATATATCTCCTTTGAAGTGCAGTCCCATGATGTAAGGGCAAACATTTTGTAAGCCTTATACTGGTACAAGCTGAGGCTCTGAAGACCGGAAAAGCAAACCTATGCCCATAATACATATCTATTGCTTTCAAGAGGAATCTTTAGCTCTGGCCCTGTTATGGTAGGAGGGCCCCAATGTAGTCAATATGACACCAAGTGACTGATGAGTCTCTTCAAGGGATGGCATTATACTCCGCATTGGTTTCTGAATGTGGATTGGGTAATTCAGGAATAGCAGTAATTTTAGCCTTGGTAGTTTGGATCCCATGTTTTTAAGCCCATGTTTAGCCTCTTCAATCACTGGTACCATCACTAATTAATTTGTTTACCAACTGTGCCTTCACTGTGGTGGCAGGTTGCAATGACATAGGCTGGTTGTCAAGAACTAGACATGGTTTTAGTCCACCGGGTTGTTTAATGTCTTTTCTGTGTTAGATGATTTCTGGAGGGTATTACTATGCAATCCAAAGATCTTCACACTTCTTGTCCACTCTAATATGCCCATTTTCATGCCTCTATCTCAGAATTCCTTATCCCCGATCTAACAATTTTTGTCCTTTCCAGGCCCTTGACCAACCAGCCAGGTTATTTACCAGTATCCCTCAATCCATGTGTATTCTAACCTTGGGTTATTTTTCTTGCTCAACAAAGTGGAGCACCAGATGCATCTCCCAAGGCTCTGACCATTAGGAAGATATCATCTTACTTCTCTTTTAAGGCCACAGAATTAGGGGTACAGTTCAACAATACCAACCAATCCATACATAAACCAAATGTGGACTTATTTTTCCTTTACTAGTGGTTCTTAATGGATACCCACTCAGGCATGAGCTGATATGCTGAGCTGATAAGGCTCACGTAGCTTATCTGTGCCCTCTGGTCCTACTTGTGTTCAATCCTGAATGTACTACTTTCACTTTATAATGGATTGTTGCTGAGCTTGCCCAAACTTATAACATGGCTGATCAACAATTCAGTTTGGAAAGTCAGTTGTGGGTACAATATCATGTAGTATCTCGATGTCAGGCACTCCATCTCTCTCAGGGATCTGCATATGCACAAAGCTGTTTTACAAAATTTATATATATATATATGTGTATATATATATATATAATCTGCTGAATATTATGCCATGCTGCAGAACTCTTCAAGTCCACATGTGAGTTTCTCATTGGATTTTGCCATAAATCCCAAACATATTCCATACTATGTGTTTTCCCACCACTGATAGTTCCAGTACCCAAACATATATGGCACTATAGCCCATGTACAGTAAAGTCTATGACAATTTTTTCTGACTTTGAGTACAAAATCTTAAAAATAAATGTATCATTTTTATTCTCCTTGACTCTAAACTTTTTATTCAATCTCTTTTGATTCAAATTTTGTCCAGTTAATCTAATTTCTAGGCGGGGGTGGGGGGTGAGGGAAGGTATTAAAAAGTGGCCAGGATCATTAAAGATAAAGAGCTACAGAAGATTAGAGGAGGAAGAGTTTACCTGCCTTTGAAATTATGATAGGTTGAATAATGACCCCCCAAAACATATACATGCTCTAATCCTTAGAATCTATGAATTTACTCTCGGGCGGAAAAAAATCTTTGCAGATGTGATTAAGGATCTACGAGGGCCCTAAATGCAATGATAATGTATTTTTGTAAGATAGTGACAGAGGGAAACACACACAGAAATGGAGGAGGCAATGTGACTACAGAGGCAGAGATGAAGTGATACAACCATAAGCTAAGAAATGCCAACAGGCACCAAATGCTGTCAGAAGCTGAAAGAGGCAAGAAACAGATTGCCCCTTAGAGCCTCTGGAGGGAGCACGGTCCAGAACTGTCAAAGACTAAATTTCTATAGTTTTAAACAACCAAATTTATGCTTATTTGTTATAGCAACCCTAGAAAAATAATACAGAGATAATAAAGAAAAGCTGTATGGGATGTGTAGTGTTTTAAGCATGATAGGTCAGATTTATATATGTAGTAACTAGAAAGAAGGGGGAAAGGAGGTGGGGAGAGGAGCATTACAGATGAAGAAAAAGGCAGTGAGACAGGAAATCAAGGCAAATGTACAAGAGAAAACAAAGCAGTTCAATTAGGCACAAGTATATGCTACTTGCAAGTAAGCAATGATACAGATTGTTAAAGATCCTGAATGCCAGTCTAAGAAGTCTGATTTAATCTAAGAAATTTGAACTTTTGTCTGTAGACAATCAAGACCCTCTGCATCTCATTAGGACAAACTCTGGGTGTAGGGGGAGTTGGGAGCATGGTGGTGAGAGATGGAAGGAGGTAATAATGATGGGCTAAATCCTTTGCATACCTGTCATACTATTCTCTTATTTATTTATTTATTTTTATTCATCTACTTCCACCCCAAGGCTTACGGGTTGGGATTCTTTCCCCAGGGCCAAGCAAAAATTCAGGCATATGCATTTCATAAGTGGTAAATGAGTGAAGAAAGAAAACTATATATTTTTTGTTTGTCATTAGTAATCATGGTGTGACAGAGAACAGAATACTGAACAGTATTTGAATCACTTTTACTCTTCCAAGGTTTGATTAAGATGATTATATTAAAAATATATTTTAATATTGGGGCGCCTGGGTGGCTCAGTCGGTTAGGCGTCCGACTTCGGCTCAGGTCATGATCTCGCGGTTCGTGGGTTCGGGCCCCGCATCGGGCTCTGTGCTGACAGCTAGCTCAGAGTCTGGAGCCTGCTTCAGATTCTGTCTCCCTCTCTCTCTGACCCTCCCCTGTTCACGCTGTCTCTCGCTCTCTCTCAGAAATAAATAAAACATTAAAATTTTTTTTTTTTAAATATTTAAAGTAGAAGAGATTTAGCCTCAGTGTGACTAACCCCAAGAAATACCCAAGAACCAGGACAGCAAGTGTAGCCAAATCCGGTCAATCACTGGTGGTTGTATGCAGCAGAGTTGAGAAGAAACATAAGATTTGTGCTATAATAAATTAGCAATGTCTGCCAAAATGTTGGATTAGGAATAGCCAGCCAAACGACTTGTGTTTCCCATCTCACTCTTGCTCCACTCTTGGTCCTATGGTTTCTTCAAAAAGTTTTCATTTTTATGTCTTCTTATGTGAAATATAGAAAGAAAAATTCCATTTCAATAGAAGTTTCCATTAGTTGAGCATGGTTAATCAAACATACTGCAAACAAGTGAAAAAAGAAGCTAATGGTTGTGGTGTAGACGGGACACAGGACTGCTCTGCTGCCTGTAGTCTATGGTTTCAAACTATTAATATTCTGACTGGAATGAAAGGACACATTCAACTGCTTGTCTTCGAACTGCAGTGCATGTTTTATGAAAAGGCTAACTCAGCATTTGGACAAAGCAACGTACTCAGTAGGGCCTTGGAGAGTTGGAAAATGGACATATTGGCCAGGTGAACCCAAGCAGGAAAAAATGGACTTTGTAAATAATGAACTCCAAAGTTTACTCTTAAAGTTATGAGACTCAAATCCAGAGAGAGGCTAAACAGCAGTGGCTGGAAATGAAGTCAAAGCTGAAGTAGGCTACAGTCCATCGTGACCATAAGTAGTACCCACACCTTAATACATGAAGGGTGTACCAAAATAGAGTTAAAATGTAGCTCATGAAACGAGGTATAAACACCAACATTATCACACAAGTTTTGTTACCCGTGTTGCTTTAGTAGGGAAGGTCGAGTACCCACCCTCTGAGGTGAAAGTTGTTTAAGGTCCTGCTCCGGTTATCATTTTTGTTGTAGAGAGAAGTTCCAGGGTCAGTGTGGGTGTCTCTCCTAAAGCCCTAAAATCACTCCTTGGCCGTGGATAAACATCACCGCAGATTAGTGGCAACCCGTCACAATGGTCCAATTCCTCTGGAAATGCGCTGGGAGAAGCGACCAAAGCCGACTGGTATTCCACACAGCGTAAGCCCCGCCCCCGCCAGGCGCAAGCGCACTCCCGAGTCTCGAGAACTAACCTAAAACCAATACTGAGCAAACGCGCGCGAGTCCTCACTAGCCACGCCTTCCTCTTTTCTCAGCAGGTACTGTTAGGAGATGCCTGTATAATTACTACTGTTATTTGTAACCGCGCTTGGGTTCATTTCCCAACTCCCCTTATTGGAACTCACTTTGCCTAAAGTAGGAGTTGCTGTCTCGGGGTAAAATTTGCTCCTCTCGTTGTCTTTCTGCTCTTTAGGACGGATGGGGTCCTTTAGGCAGCCAATCCTGACAGATATGAAAAATAAAACGACATATTGTAAAGAATTTTTAAAGTTCGTTAACTTATGTGACAAAATCACTATACAAAAAATACTCTGCATTCATTCATATTATATGCATTATAAAACTCAGAAGTCGTTTCATTTTTCTACGCTAGACTGGTTCTTCTAGTTACTAACAAGGACCTGGAGGAAGGATCAGCGCATGCGCGAACCACCCAGCGGCAGCGGTGAGGCCTGGGAAAGGGTGATATGTAGACTTACCTTGTGCTCTCCAGCTCTTGTGAGGGACATTTGTGGCTAGTGTTGGGCCGCCATGGGGAAAGTGAATGTAGCCAAGTTACGTTACATGAGCCGGGATGACTTCAGGGTCCTGACCGCGGTAAGAAGTTCGCCGTTTCTCCCTGTCCCCTGTCCTTTCCCACCGCGGTTCTTCCTGCTCCTCGAACTTAGCTGAGTCGAGCACGCTGTAGGCCCTCCTAGGATACCCAGACTGGGCATGGGTAAAAGAAGACCGACAGGTTTTTCAGAAGCTTTTGTTCGGAAGCTTTTGTCTCCCCTGAAACAGAGCAGAGAGTTCTGTTTTCTAATCCTTTCCTTCCTTTCTTCTCCCTATCTTGTGCTCCAGAGCCACACTTAGCATCTCTGTGGCCTGGAAAGCCTTTTTGACGCTGGGCTTCCGACCACCCGAGCAGAGTTTAAGACTCTTGAGAATTTATAACCTTGAGTTCCTTACTCACAGATTCACTCACATAGCGTTTATTCAGTTTTATTCACTCAACATTTATTTGTCTGGTTTTTAGAGACAGTTTTAGGGAATTCACCGGGTTACGAGACAAGGGTGACAGATCGAGTAAATGAATAAAGAAATACGGAGGATAGTATCAGATATTAAGTGTTGTGAAGATGATAACGAGAATAATAGAATAGAGAATGTGTGCACGTTTGGGGTTGGGAGCATGCCATCTTTAAATTGTGTGGTCTACTGAATGTTTTAAACAAGGAAGTGACAAAAACTGATTTTACTGGTCGTAGTCTTAAATCACAAAGATAAGCAACAGAGAGACTGGGGATTCCCAGAATAAAACTATTTTTTAGAAGATACTATCTTTTGCTTAAATAGGCACTACTTAAGGATTAAACTGTCAAGTGCAAATTCATTATGAAGTTTGGAAGACACTTTTCTTTCTCTTCCCATAGATTATTTAATTAAGCTGTACTTTTTCTAAACATCTGTCACTCTGACAGATAACCTTCCTTCTCTGCATCCACATCACATCCCCTTAATCCTTAATGCCTGTGACAAATAGGGGAGTCGAGGGAAAGAATGTTAGAGACTAGGAGAGATTGAACAAAGCATGGAAAATGAGTTAAGGTTTGAGGTTTTGATTGGCACGTCAAAACAGTGCCAGATTTATCTTCTAAAACTTGATTCTCTGGTAATTGAAATTCTTTTTTGAAGCTCACCAAGGAATGACCTACTCATTAAATACAATATTTCAGTCCCAGTTAAGTCTTACTGTCCCTCCTATCAGTGGCCACCTTTCCTTGACTCTCTTCCTGTACTTTTCAGGTGTCTTCTACATCAGTAATCCTATTTTGACTGGCTACCCTTGCCTTTTAATGTGAACTTCCCACCAAATTCTGTCCCTCAACCCTTCTTTGTCTTCCATTATCTTTCTTGATGATCACATCCACTTCACGGCTTTATCTGTTAACTCTGTCATATAATTTACAATTTTTTCCCTTTAATTGTGACTTCATTCCTGAGTATAGATGTATCTTTCCAGTGTACCTTAAACATTTTGTTTGAAGGACCTTCCAGAACTTTGCATCGTGATTAGTGTCCTTAAAACATCTCTATTCATGTATCTCCCTTAGGTAAACACCTTCAAGGGGATCCAGGGTTTCTCAAAAAGAAATTTAAAACTCCTAGTTCTGCCTTTCAGTGCTTTTCGTATCTTACTTAAAAGCATTTTCCAGCCTTCTTTTCATGAACTCACCATCGCATCTGAGCTATCACTGTACTAGCTGCTGTGCTCTGTGTTGCCTTGCATGTCCAAATCTTTTGTCTTCTCTGATATTCCCTCTGTGTTCCCTTTTTCTGTTTTCTGCATCTTAGAATCAGTCTCAAGTGCCACTTCTTGCTTGAAACTGATCCATCAGCTAGAATTTATGTTCATACCTGGGCCACTTCTTTTTTAGCACTTATTATTTCTTGCCTTCTAATAAAGTTAGATGTGTAGGTTCTTATTTACGCTATTAGCTAATAAATTCTCCAAAGGGTTGAGAGTATTTATGTATATTTTTCAATCTTCCACTATGCCTGCATGGTACTTTTATAGTAAGTACCTCCTTAATAAATATCTGGAATATCTATAGTTTTTAAAGATAAATATTTAAATGTCAATAAATATCTTCGTATTTGCTACCTGTCAGTAACTGTTAAGCACTCACAGTTCTTACCTGTGTAGTTTAGTATAGAGGCAGAATATGAATATCAGTGATTATATATCAAGTTGTCACTTAAAATATGTTCAGAGAAGGCATCACTTATGTCTCCAACTGGTTGGGGAACTGCATGATCAGAAAATTGAAGGAGAAGTTAACTTCTTAGCAAGGTTTTGATAGTAGTTCTGTGTTGATTATGATTGCATATAATTCCTTTAATTTCAGGTTGAAATGGGCATGAAGAACCATGAAATAGTTCCCTGCAGTTTGGTTGCTTCTATAGCCAGCCTTAAACATGGTGGCTGTAATAAAGTTTTAAGAGAATTAGTGAAACATAAACTCATAGCTTGGGAGCGTACCAAAAGTAAGTATTTATAGCACCATTTGTGACTTTTCATATAACTGGCTTTCCCCAGAGCAAGTATTTTATTTTATTTCATTTCATTTCATTTCATTTCATTTCATTCATTTCATTTCATTTCACTTGCAGAGCAGGCATTTGAAAAAGTGAAAAATGAAAGTTGCCAGACCAGTAAAGCACTCTGTCCATAAATCCACATACTTCTACCAAGTTTTATTAGGATAGTCACAGGGCCCACCCAGATTAAAGAGAGTAAAGAAATAGTCTCCATCTCCTCATAGGGGAATAACAAGTTCTGATTGCAGAAGACCAAATAGGATAGAAGTAATTGTTGTCACCATCTTTGGAAAATACATTTTGCCACAGGACTCTAGAGCATTAACTTTCAAACTATCCATGATGAGGGATGAGTTTCTTTTTTTCAACCTGCCATGGAGCCATACTTCATATTATAAAATAAGAATAAAAACATAATTTCTAGAAAAATGAACTTTAAAAACTGATAAAATACAGGCACAAATTCCTTATTAGAGTTAAAGACAAAAAAGCTTGGTAAAAGTGATTTAAAAATTTCTGAACTTAACCACTTCATTTCAGTTTCTGTATCTTATACAAACTAGTAACAAATATTTGTAGACTGGTGTCAGTCTGTGAGTCATGTTTTGAGTAACACTGCTCTAGAGAGAAAACACAAATTTAGGAAGGAATGCCAAACTCCTAAGACTGGGTAAACTAATCTTTCCAGCTAAGACTTCTTATTGTTTAAATTCTTCTCATGATTGAATTAATGTGACTTGATTGTGCAGTGTAACTAAAATACTTTTTTTTTCTCATTTTATTTTGTCTAGCTGTCCAGGGCTATCGGTTGACAAATGCAGGCTATGATTACCTAGCTTTGAAAACACTTTCTTCTAGACAGGTAGTTGAGTCTGTTGGAAACCAGATAGGTGTTGGCAAAGAATCTGGTAAGTGCTAACATTACTACTGAATTGCTTTAGTTTCTCTTTATATTTTCCTTTGAGAAAGCATTATCTTTTTTTTTTATGTTTATTTATTTGTTTTGAGAAAGAGAGTGAATGTGAGCAGCAGTGGGGGAGGGGCACAGGGAAAGGGAAAGAGAAAATCCCAAGTGGACCTTGCTGGTGTTAGCACAGAGCCCCATGCGGGGCTGGATCCCATGAACCAAAGCATAGTATCAAGACCTGAGCCAAAACCACGAGTCAAATACTTATCCATCTGAAACACCCCGGCACCCTGAGAAAGCATATCTTTTAATTTTTCCATTTTTTCAACAAAGCAGTAAATTGAAAAGTTAGTTAGAAGCAGTAATGATGATGAAATCACTCTTAGTTTAGTAGGTTATTGTTTTTTGTTAAGTCTCTCGTTGAAAAATCAGTTATATTGGGGTGCCTGCATGGGTCAGTCAGTTGGGTGTCCGACTTCGGCTCAGGTCATGATCTCACAGCTCATGAGTTCAAGCCCCACATCAGGCTCTGTGCTGACAGCTCAGAGTCTGGAGCCGCCTTCTGACTCTGTGCTTCCCTGTCTCTCTCTCTGCCCTTCTCCCACTCACGATTTCTCTCTCAAAATTAAATAAAACATAAAAAAAAAAAGAAAAAAGAAAATTCAGTTATACCAAGAATTAATTTTCCTCTAATAACTGACATCTTTGGCAAATATATTATTTGCTCTTTTATATGTTATAAATGGACATTTGTAACAGTTAAAATATGCAACACAAGGAAATATTAGAAGACAGTGACTAAAAGCTACAACACATTTTTCTACCACAGAAATATGGCAAAATTAGGTATGTGTAGAACACAAAACATTCTAAAATAGCACTGAACAAATACATAATGCAAGAGTGCTAAATACAGCAGTACATGCGCACGTGTGTGTGAAATGTGTAAAATGAGATAATTTATAACACCTCTTTTTAGATAATCTGCCTCTTTTTAGATAATCTGCCTCTTTTTTATGTCCATTTTTTCACTTAAAAAATAACATGGTTTTTTTTTGTTTGTTTATAAGAATTTCACTGCATGCAAATGATAAATAGTACAAAAGAAAGTAAAATAAAAAGTAAAACTTTCTCCTAACCAGGTCTCCATCTGTTACCGTTACTTTTCAAAGCTGTTCCTATTAAGTACTATCTTATATATCCTTCTAGAAATATTCTATTTAAATAATAGTATATAATATATGAGAAAATGTATATATACACTCACATATGTTTTCAATCACAGATAAAAGCAACCATTACTTGATTTTTTTTTCCATTTGATACATTTGATTTTTGGAGTTTTTTTAAAGATTTTATTTTTAAGTGATCTTTACAGCCAATGTGGGGCTTGAACTTAACAACCCCAAGATCAAGAGCCCCATACTATACTGACTGAGCCATCCAGGTACCCCTTGATGCATTTCTGATATCATTTCATGTTAACAGATCTTTCTCATAGTTTCAGAGTATTACATGGTATGAGTGGTAATTGAATTTACCAGTCCCAGCTGCTATGGACATTTATGTTACTCCACCTTTTCTTTTGTAGGTAATTATGTGTTAGACAGCCTTGTACACACGCCTCTGTGCACACGTACAAATGCATTTGTAAATACAGTCTTAGAAATTGAATTATTAGGGGCACCTGGTTAAGCGTCTGACTTCGGCTTAGGTCATGATCTCACACTTCGTAGGTTGGAGCACCGCTTCAGGCTCTGTGCTGACAGCTCAGGGCCTGGAACCTATTCTGCGTCTCTTCTCTCTTCCCATCCCCTGCTTGTGCCCTGCCTCTCTCTCTCTCTCTCTCTCTCTCTCTCTCAAAAATAAATAAACATTAAAAAAAATTTTTTTTTAAGAAATTGAATTATTAGCACAAAAGTTCAGTACATTTAAAATTTTGATACTACAAATTTCCCTTCAAAAGCTTACACCAGTTTATAATCCTGCCATTGTGAGAGACAGTTGATGTGTAATAATTAAAATTTCTTATGAACAATTAGGGTATGTTTTACATGTCAGTATTACATATATCAACTTTTATTGATGATTGGAATATGTGGGGGAAGATCTCCATTCTGATAACCATAAGATTATATGGTAACAACTGAATTTTACTTATTGAAGAAGTTGAAGAATTGAACTTTGTGTTGTTGAAAAAGAAGATGTTAAATCATTTCCCATACATGTAGGTCACTAAACAACAATTACATTTTTCCCAATAAATTGAATTGAGTATTGAGCACTTTTGGAAGCAATATTAACACACAACATCCTTCTTTTGTAGTAAGATACTAATACATGTCATTTTATTTTGGATTGTTGTTAAAATAATTTTGCTGAATAGTAGGTATTCCTGGGTATTAGGAAATATATAATTTGATACAAATAAAATCAAAACTAAGAATTACAAATGAACTTTTTGGGATGAAAGTATAATAATGATCTTTTTTAAATCTTGGCTCTAGATATTTACGTCGTTGCAAATGAAGAAGGGCAGCAATTTGCATTAAAGCTTCATAGGCTGGGAAGAACCTCCTTTCGAAATCTGAAAAACAAGCGTGATTATCATAAACACAGGCATAACATGTCTTGGCTTTATTTATCTCGTCTCTCTGCCATGAAAGAATTTGCTTATATGAAGGTATTTTGTAAATAATTTTATATTTTTTAGCCAAATAATACATGTAGCTGAAAGGATATAGTGACATTTACCAGTCTGCTGTCCCCACATCTCTCCTATCCTCAGTCCCAGTCATTACCCTTATGTTTAACTGTTGATTATTTTTGTTATTTGGTTTTCTGGTGATTTTTTTTTTCTGTGTGAAGGCATTTTTAATCATTATTAATGTGTAAAAGCAACAAGGACTCTACAGTATTAATAAGGTATTATAATGCAAATTAACAAATAGCTTTAAATAATTAGTGATGTAATTGCCTCACAAAAAAGTGTGTGAATATGTATCTATTTAATATATATAAATACATATATGCTTGTCTCCTGTTGAAAAGGCAGGGAATTACCTGTAGTAATTATCTGTAGAAACCTTAGCATATCAGCTAAATTGACTAGTACCTTTCCTTCACTTAATGGAGAAGAAATGTTGATGTACAAATTTGTATGCATATTAGAAATGGTAAAAATCTTTAGGTTTTCAACTTTCACCTTCAAAATCAAGTTCAGGATATATTTGTTAACTATCTTTAATAATAACCAAAATATATATCTTCAATAATGTTTAAATTAAACAGAAAATAATACTGTATTTTTATTCTCCAGTAGTATTTGTTATTTCTTATCTTCACTTTTTAAAATTTTACATTACTAAAAGTCATTCTCGGGTCACCTAGCTGGCTCAGTCAAAAGAGCATGCAACTCTTGATCTCCGGGTCGTGAGTTTGAGCCCCATGTTGGGTTTGGAGATTCCTAAAAGTATATACATATGTACATATGTACATACATAATGCTATAGTAGGTGATTAATATATGAAAGTTTTGGGAGTTTCAGTTTGGTGTTGAATGGGTTAATTCATGTGCTTAAATTTTTAGTAGTTATGGGGGAAAATTTTGAAGACTGTAAATAACTGATAGTGATACCATACATGTTATGTGCTTCTTTGCCTTAAATACTAATGGTTTGTATCCTGTAATAGTCAATCAATAAGTAAGCAGTTTGGTAGAGAATATTACACATTTTCCTAGAACTGTATTAGCTGTTTTCTTAGATGTTTATATGAAGGTACTAGAATAGAACCTATTGTACATAAATAGCTCCTTAAATTTATTTTCTTTTTTCCTTGAAGAGAATAAGATAAGGTTAGATTGAAGATTAAGCAATAGTGCAAGAGCTAGACCATTAGGACAGTGGTTAAGGTTATTATATACTATTGAGCCGCCAAAGCATGTTCAGAACTACTTGCATTGAAAAAAAAATCTTAAAAGCCAAACAAACAAAAATCTTGGGAGAGTGGCAGGAGTTCAGTTCCTCTACAAAGAAGGTAGGAAGTAAGCGTTTTATAAAATTAACCCTGTTCATAAGTATATAAATTAAGTTATATATTAAGTTTAGAGAAACTTCTGTAGAGTAGAATAGTTGAAAGAAGTTTCATAAAGCAAGTGGAGTTGAGTAGAGTAATGAAGCATGCATATGATTTGTCCCTAAGGAGAAAATAGTAATACAGTGTTCTTTGGAAAGGAGCCACTGTGGGCAAAGACATGAATATGTGCGTGAACCCTGTATGTACTCCAAACTGTTTATTAAAGAGAGTATGGGGGTGCGCCTGGTGGCTCATTCGGCACGATGTCCAACTTCAGCTCAGGTCATGATCCCGTGGTTCATGAATTCAAGCCCCGCATTGGGTTCTGTGCTGACAGCTCAGAGCCTGGAGCCTTCTTCAGATTCTGTGTCTCCCTCTCTCTCTGTCCCTCCCCTGCTCGTGCTCTCTGTCTCTTTCTCTCTCAAAAGTGAATAAATGTAAAAAAAAAAAAAAAATTGTTTTTAATAAATAAACATTAAGTATATATTTTTAAAAAAAGAGTATTGGGAAAACTGGGACCTGATAAGTGGATTAAAGAGAGTTCTGAAAACTAGGAAAAGTTGTTCATACTGAAATACAAACATTGTAGATTTTTCTGAATGGAGCATTGACATAAGTATTTTAGTTTGGTATTGGTACACAGGATGAAGGTTAGTTATGGTGGCAAGAGCTAGAACCACTGTTGGAGCAATCATGAATAAGTAACAAAGGCCTACTTTCAAATTGTAGCTTTCTAAATTGCAGAGAGCATAAATCTAAGATATTTTTGAAGGAAATAATAACAGGACTTTTGATGGAAGCAAAAGGTAGAAGAAAGTAAGCTTTGGGGAAAAGATGGATTAATGGATGATCTGAAGTAACTTGACTCAGACTACACTACTGTGTGTATATTTGCCACATAATTTATGTTGTATATTATGGTCTGAAGAAAAAGGTCAATACTCTAAAACTAAAATATCTGACCTATTGAGATATTTCATTTTCTAATCTGCCAGAAGACAAGACTGTTTCCTAAATCACAGTTTATTTCCATTTGAATTTTTAAGCATACTCCCAGTTAATGGCAGAAATGTAGCAAAATAAGAAGGTATATCCTGGGGTGCCTTGCTGGTTCAGTTGGTAGAGCATGTGACTGTTGATCATGAGTTCAGGCCCCACATTGGGCACGGAGCCTACTTAAAATAAAGATTAAAAAATAATTATAATAAAAGAATAAAAAGAAGAGGATATATCCTAGGAGATTGTAGGCTTCTTGGGGACAGTTTTTTACATTTATTTCTATAACCCTAGCACCATGTATAACATTTAGTAAATGTTCAGTAAATTAACGTTTGGTGAAAAAGTGAATTAAGTTAACTGCTTTAAAATTTTATTTTATGTGTAGCTCATTTTCTGCTGTGAAAAAGCCATAAATAATTATGTGTTAACTGTAATTTTGTAAAGTCTTTCATGTTTCTTCTAGTTGTGGGCAGGTATGTTTACTTTTATTTTACCCTAAGGATTAATGACCTCTTTGTTAGTTTATCCCTATTTTGCTATGTTTTAGGCATTGTATGAGAGGAAATTTCCTGTCCCAAAACCAATTGATTATAATCGCCATGCAGTGGTCATGGAACTCGTAAATGGCTATCCTCTGTAAGTATTTATTATTCTTAAAACTATGGATCGTAATAAGTAAGTGTAAGGTTTAGTTTTCAAAAACTTTCTAATTAAATGAAGTATTGCTTCTGAAAGGTTAGAAATTAACACAAAGCAGTAGTCTCAAATGCAAATTAAAAATTTAGTTTTGTTCTGACAGAATGGATTTTATAATCTCTGTAATCTCTGCTGATTCAGCATATGTTTGCTAGTAATCTAGTATACAGGAAGCACTGTTTTAGTAGGCCGGCCAGTGAACAAAACAAAATCTCTGCCTTCATAGATCTTATGTTCTGATGGAAGGAGACATGCAGTAAATAGCTAAACAAGGAAACATGATTATCAGATGTTAGAAAATGCTATAGATTAAAATAGGTAAGGGAACAGGGAGTACTGGGGTAAGTGGAGGAAGCTGCTCTTTTACATGAAATGGTCAGGAAGAGTCTCCTTGATAAAGTATTTTTGAGCATAATCCTAAAATTAGAGAGAAGACCAGGCAGAGGGGCCAGCAAGTACATAAGTCCTGGGATGGGAGTGTGCCTACATGTACAGGAAGCAGTGAGGAGGCTAATGTGGCTGGAGTTGAGTGGATGAGGGCAGAGATTATAAGTGATAAGATCAGAAAGGCAACAGGGAACTAGATCATTTAAGGTTTGTAGGCTATTGCAAGGAATTTTTAATTTCTTTTTTAGTACATTTTGACATACAAATTTAAGTTTTACAGCATGTTGATTTCATGTTTATATACTGCAGTGTCATTGCCACTGTAGCAACAGAAAAAGGGCTTTTTTATTTTGATTTGGATAGGAAGGCATTGGAGGAATTTGAACTGAGAAGAGACATGATGTGACTGTTTTAATAGGATTGCTGTGGCTGTTGTTTTGAGAATAGATTGAAAGGCAGACAAGGACAGAATTAGGAAGAAAAGCTAGGAAACTGTTCTAATAATCCAATCAAGAGATGATGGTTGTTTAGATAAGAGTTGTGGATGTGAAGGTGATAAACAGTGGTTAGATTCTGGATATGTTTGCAGGTATAGCCAACACTGTTTGGGATTGAATATCAGTATGAAGAAAGGGAAAATCAAGGATAACACTAGTCATTTATAGAAATGAGAAGGATGCCGGAAGAGCAGCTTGGAGTTAGAGGGTAGGGTAGAATCAGAGGTTCAGTATGGGACATGGTTGAGTTTGAGATGCCTTGGAGTTCAGAGAAGTATAGATTGAGGTGTTTAAAGCCAACAGCCTGGATGAGGTCACCACGAATGATTCTAAATAAAGGCTCCTAGTATTAACCTTTGAGCTCCAAAATTTAAAGGTCTGGGGAAAGATGAAGAACTAGTGAAAAAGAGTGAGAAGGAATGATAAACATGGAAAGAGGACAGCCTGAAGAGTTGGTGTACCAAGAGTCAAGTGAAGGAAGTGTTTCAGCAACGAGGAAGAGGTTAACTGAGAGACCACATATGATGAAGTCTGAATTGACCACTGAATTTAGCAACATGGAAATCATTGGTAGTTTTGACCCTACCTATTTCATTTGAACAAGGTAGATGAAAACCTGTTTGAAGAGAAAGCTGATAGGGAAGTAAGGAATGGAAAAAATAATACACATGCTTACTTTCGTGAAAATCATAAATGATGACAAATAACCTGTTTTCATACTTTCAGATGTCAGATACACCATGTTGAAGACCCTGCATCAGTATATGATGAAGCTATGGACCTAATTGTCAAACTTGGAAATCATGGACTGATTCATGGAGATTTCAATGAATTCAATCTCATTTTGGATAAAGATGACCACATCACCATGATTGATTTTCCACAGATGGTTTCAACTTCTCATCACAATGCTGAATGGTATATGCTAAAAGTGATTCTGGATATGGGTGTGTTTGTGTGTGATGCAGTCATTTTTTCTTAATTTTTTCAACTTTATAATACTGTTTTTTGGGTCAATAACTGGTTTGAAGTGGCTGATGTTGATGATCTAAAAATTTGTTCTTTTATTAAAGGATACAAACTAGGACTTTCTCCCCGCTAAGAAAACCTATCTAATTCTTCAGTATTGTAAATTACTTGTGTAATCTGACAGACTCTTGAAAGTCAAACTTTCTTAGGTGGAAAGTTCAACAAACTTTTATTCAAACAGACTTTTAGGTGGAAGCCCAATTTAAAAAAAAAAAAAAGCCTGCCCAGAGAAAATAGGGACATAGAAAAGGTAACCCTAGGGCCCCATCCTCTCTCTCCTCCATAGTTGCCTCCAAGATTGTTTCACCAAGTATAAGTTGGTAATCATGATGGCCTTCGTAGAAATTATGATTTTGAAGTGGATTCAGTTGCGAGATCAAGAATATCTCTCTTGTCATTTTTTTGCTTTTTATTATTAGAAAACAATTTATGTAAAGCCTCATCCCTAACACAGGACAGTATCACTTTATATACTGTGGTAATCTAACTCCTCACATTACTTAACCCGTGTAAACCATGCTATAAAATGACATTGTTTTACTTGGTATTTCATGATGTAATTGATTATAATCAAAGTGGAATATTTTTCATCCGTTCATTCCAAGTTATGATATGAGAAACTTCTCCTTTCTCCTGAAAATAACAACCTTACATAGTAAGAGTATATGACTTCTTGGAAAGGTTGAGCTCAAACCAGTTTGTGTTCAGACAAGCTTTTCTTCCTCCAGATTTGCATAAGAAAATGTCTGTGCCTCAGAAAAAGAAATGTTATTTAAATATAAATTTAAAGAATATTTGTTCCAACTGAACAATATTAATAGATTAACACCTGGTGCTTGAGTGGTTAACATATCTTTGGATGGTGACTAATCACCATTTTTATTAACATAGGGTAACATAGTCACACAATGAAAGAAAGTCCAGGAACCACCAGAAGTATAGAAAGAAACGATGACAAATTGTGACATTCAGTGTAGGCTGCATTATTCTATAGGGAAACAGTATGATTTAGCTTGCTATTTAATGGAGAAGTACTAGAGAAAAGGAGTTGTGCTACGTAGCAGAAATTAAGATATAAATTAATTAATACATAATTATAAATAAGACCTATCTCTACATTTGAAGATTTTGAGATTTTGTCTAATAAGGTGAAACATAGACAAAAATAAAAAGATAATCTTTAAATCATTTACTGAAGTTTTTCCCAGGGTACCCTAAAATTAGGAAAGAATAGTACCATTATCTTTCTGTTTCTAGACTTTCTCTGAAATATTAATTAATATTCAAGGAGATAGTGAATTTCATGTGATCCTATTTCTTAATTCTCCCTTATCTAGAAACCTAGAGGATTCTAGGTTCTCACTGCTTTATGGTGGCCTAAAAAGCAACCTGATACGGGTCCTTCTACCCTTGGACCAGACTAACATGTCTCCAAATCCTTGTTTATAATCCACAGCATTATTTATCTCTTTTGAATGTTCTTACAAATTAGCAAATGGATAATAAAGGTATATAAACATAACATAATTTAATGGTCCCAATTTTTTTCTTAATGTGTGACTAAACTGTTGTATATTTAAGCTTTTGTAGTTGATTGGGGTTCTAGTGGGTATAGCTGATGAGAAGTATAACCAGACAGGCTGGAGACTAAAGAGGAAAAGTAGAAACTTGCCCCTAACTACAGACCCACAGTCTTCTTTTCTGAGACTCATATACATCTTATTTTCTCTTAGTATGTCTGTTACAGTATGGGAAGACCTCTAGTTTTTTAACTATAGGAACTAAATGCCTTTGGCAGCTAATATTTCCTGTTCCTTTCCTTTTCTGTTTTGTTTAGTTTCTCAGACACACTGGTGTCGATTTGTCTCTTATTTTTCTTATGAGTAACATCATTTTTCATCTAATGATTAGGAGTGTCATTAATAAGTATATTGTCATTGGCTAATGAGGAAAAGCATGAACAACGAAGGCTGTATCAAAACTGATTCTTCTTTTTGCAGGTATTTTGATAGAGATGTTAAATGCATTAGAGATTTCTTCATGAAACGTTTCAGCTATGAAAGTGAGCTTTACCCAACTTTTAGTGATATCAGGTTTGTACCCACCTTTGCTTAAAATGATAAAAACTTGTTTAAGTATGTGATTTATTGGGGCACCTGGGTGGCTCAGTCATTTGATAATCCAACTCTTGATTTTGGCTCAGGTCACGATCCCAAGGTTGTAGGATAGACTTCAGCATGGAACCTGCTTAGGATTCTCTCTTTCTCTCCCTCTCTCTGTCCCTTTCCTTCCCTCCCCCTCCTCCTTCCCCCCCAGAAATAAAAATAAATAAATAAATAATACTTGATTTATTTAGTTCTAAAAAGTTTAACACTTTCATCTAAAAAATATCCAAATAGTAACCGTTGACACATTATAATAATTGTTGAGTATCATTGCTATCTAGTGTATAAATGAAACTTAAAATCTAGAAAATCCTGCCTTTGGTCTATTAAGGCAGTGTTACTAAATTTTAAAGGAGTAACACATTTAGTTTCTTACAAATTCATGAACTTTTATTCATATTGGAATTTATGTTTTTCCTTTATCCAGAACAGAAGCTGTATTTACTTGATTTATGGAACATAATTATATGTAAATTCTCAAAGCAGAACTTTTTCATTTATTTTATATTCTTAGTTATGACATTATTTTCTGCTTTGGGATGATAGAACTTCGAAGAAGAGATCTTTGGTGCCCATTAAAGTCAATTTATTAAGTCAGTATCAAGTTTTTGTAACTTTTCTACTAATATTTGTTGCTTTTACTAGTCATTTTTTGCATGTATGAGCGCACGTGCGCGCGCACACACGTGCACACATACACACACACACACACACACACACACACACACGAACTGAGGAGCAGCAGAGGGAGAAGGAGAGAGAAAATCCCAATCAGGCTCTGCACTATATGCACCGCCTGACACGGGGCTTGATCTCATGAACTGTGAGATTATGACCTGAGCCAAAACCAAGAGTCTGACTCTTAACCAAATGAGCCAGGCAGTCATCCCTATAGTCATTTTATTCTTAACTGACAACAAAAATGTATCTTTTACATTTGTATATTTAACTAAGTATTATATTTTAGTCAAAGAAAAAATTTTAAATTTTAATAGTAAACTATTAAACTATTTGAGAATTACAGTTTTACAGAATAATAAATATTTACCGATGTTGGGTGCATTTTTTTGTAACATTTGGCATTCTTTTTTCCTAGGAGGGAGGACTCTCTTGATATAGAGGTTTCTGCCAGTGGCTACACAAAGGAAATGCAGGCAGATGATGAATTGCTTCATCCATTAGGTCCAGATGATAAAAATAGGGAAACAGAGGACGAATCTGAATTCTTACATTCTGATGAAGAGTTGTCAGATAAAGCAGAGGTTCGTAAATCAAAAAATCAAAGTGATCAAAATTCTACAGATGAATCAGCTGACTACTGTTGCATATCATCTGGAGACCTTGAACAAATAAAGGAAGATGATTTGTCAGAGAAGAATGCTGATGCACACAATTTTGAATTACCTGAATTCAGTCAAGCTTTAGAAGAAATAAAAGGGCAAGTTATTGACAACAGTTCTATAACTGAGTGTCCTGAGGAGACAGACAAAATTGAGAATGACACTAGACAAAATGGTAAAACAGGTCAAAGAGGAATTCCCATGGGCTGTGAAGACTGTGAAGATGCATGCCCTCACCTGATTGCCATGTCATCAGTAAACAAAGAAATCAGGTCTTTCAGGTATAGATTTCTGTTGATTGATTTTTTTTTTTTTTTTTACTTTAGTGTGGAGACCTATACTTTCTTCAGTTCTGATAAATGAGTGGTGTTTTTGTTCTTGTTTTTCAAATGATACAATAGAACTATATTTTGTCCCATTATGTGTAAAAAATGAAAGCAAATAACCCTTTTGGTGTTAAAATTTAGATTACCTTCTACAATGGACCTAATCCTAGGCAATCTGTTGATTCATTTTTAAGCAGTTCTGCATTAAAAATGCAAACATTACTTTAAAAAAGTTATTTACAGTAATTGGTAAATCAGTCAAGTTCTAGATGGATGAATGTTCATATATTTTTGTAGTTGATGTATGTTTGGTTTATATGTAGTCCAATAAAAATGTAGTGAATGTGCTCTCTTCATGAGATATCTACTTACAGTGAATTTTCTCTGGAACTTTGAACCTTCTATCCATACTTACTCATATACAGTTAAAATTATTTAATATTATATGTTATTTTTTTTCTAAGGCTATTTTTCTTGCAAATATTAATGAGTCAGCAACCTGAACTTAGACTAGCAAAAGATAAAAAAATTAAGTTTTATATTTGGAATAGTTTACCCTGAATCATGAAAGGAGTTTCATTTATTTCAAAATAGTAATAAGATAAAACTAAATCAATAGTACATTTATTAGGCATTTCTCAGTACATGTTCAGGCTTACACCCTAAGGCTGTCTTTATCTTTAGAGTTTTATTGTGAAGCAAAGCATGAAAATTTTGTGCCTTTTTGTGTAACTATATCTGGAGTCTCAGGGCTATTACAACTCAAATAATGAACTTATAAAATTAAAATTATAAATTAAAATCAAGAGTGGCAGTGGCTAGGGATTTTGAGTAAGTAATTGAAGAAAATTACAGAGGTTAAATAGTCTTAGCACAGATTAACTTGTTCTCTTTAAACACATGTTGGGCAAAATTTTTACTATTCAGAGTAGAAACATATTGCTGAAAACTATTAACTGTTAGGTGTTAATATTGTCATAGTGTCTTATACTTTGTATATATTAAAACTTTGACCAATATGTAAAACAACTTCGTTTCAACATCATTGCACTTTTTCTGCCTTTGCAGAGCAGATGACACAGATTAAGAATACTGCCTCTGTTCCCATTACATCTTTTGTTGTTTAAGAGATAGTAGGGAAGTGTTCCAAGAATTTAAATCTAAGAGGCAGATATGTGTAGAGTTCAGTAGAAGAACAAGAGAAGATTAGTGGAAAAGAGATATGAATTATGGGGAAGTAGTAACAAATTTTGATGGCTGAAATGATAGAATATTTTCCATTTTGATAGTGATTATTAGAATGCTAAAAAATGGAAATTGTTAGTATGTTGGTTGAATTGTGTATAGTTTTACCTTCACAGAAATTTTAAATATAATGATATTTTATCATGTAAGGAAAAGTATAAATCACATAATTAACTATAAAAATCCAGTACCTTGTGACTTTGTTTTAATTTTAGAGATGAAGAAAATATGGAAGATATTAAACAGTACAGAACAAGAACTCTGAGTGTTACTTCTGTGGGCAGTATTTTAAGCTGTTCAACAATTCCTCCGGTAATTATTCATTCAACATTTTCCAAATGTTGATTAGGTCACTACCCTGGTTGGATTGTAGATACTCAGATATGGTCTGGTCCCTGCATTTCATCAGTGAGAAAATTGAGGCCCAGATAGGTTATGTGACTTTGCTCAAGATTACCCAGCTAGTGATAGCACTACGGCTGGAGTGCGAAGATGTGCCAGCTTCACTAAATTTTGAAGGAGAAAAATATGTAATTTAAAAATCTTTGTAACCTCAAGTTTTTGTTAGACGTTTAGCAGCAGGGTTTGAAAGAATTTCGTAAGGGACATTTTCTGTGCAGGACAGTGAACACAAATACTCCAGCTCCTGAGTGTTACTGCCTGCCATCCTCTCCAGGCTGTCCAAGAGGAAGAATCAGTTTATTTCCTTTGTAGATTTTAAGGAAAGAGATAAAAGTACACATTTGGTGTATTGGGGCTTTCCTTGTACTTAAAGGCATTAAGTTGCATACCCTTAAAACCAGTTTTTAGTGATAACTTCACTGAAGATAAACAAAAGAAAATCAATTTAGAAGTTAAAAAGGAAGAAATAGGGACGTCTGGGTGACTCAGTCGGCTGAGTGCCTTACTTCAGCTCAGGTCATGATTTCACAGTTCATGAGTTCAAGCCCCACATCAGGCTTTGCACTGATAGCTCAAAGGCTGCTTCAGATTTTCTCTCCCTCTGTGCCACTCTCCCACTAATGCTCTCTCTTGTCTCTCTCTCAAAAATAAACATTAAAAGGGGTGCCTGGGTGGCTTAGCTGGTTAAGCATCCAACTCTTGGTTTCAGCTCAGGTGATGATCTCATGGTTTGTGAGTTCGCGCCCTGCATCGGACTCTGCTGACAGCATGGAACCTGCTTGACATTCTCTCTCTCTCTCTCTCTCTCTCTCTCTCTCTCACTGCCCCTCTCCCACTCACTCTCAGTCTGTCTCAAAAATAAAGTTAAAAAAAATTTCTAAACAAAACATAAACATTAAAAAATTAGGAAAAAGAAAGGAAATAAAATTATGTGGAATGTGAATTCAAAATAAAAGAACCTTGTTTTTACTGAACTTCTGATTTCCAAATTCATATGTATTGTCTAAATTAGTTAAAATGTGTGTCCTATGGATATAATATGGGATATTTACAAAATTAAATCAGAATTATCAAAGACAAGCTAAAAAAAATACTATATTTAATAATATAACACATTTTTAATGGTTCTAGGAATTTTCTTGATGATACTGACATTTAGAGCTCATGAGACCAAAATAAAAGAGTGAAATTCTATAAATGTCCTGATTTTTATATACTCTTTTCTGCTGGCCTTATAATTTACTTGATTTTCTGGATGTAAACTGTAAACCTTTGGAATTTTAAACATCTATTAATTATATTAAAAGATAAAAATTACCCTTTAAGTGTTACCAACCTGTCTTTACTAAGAATTTCTCACACTTTATGATTGCCCACCATTGGCTTTGATATTTTCTATACTTAATGAGTTTTATTTACTCTTTTTGATTTCTCAGATTCATAAAATAAGTGTTTTTAAAGAAGTACAGTGGCATAAAATTGGCAATCGCATATAAAGAAAAATTTAGATTACTAATTCAGGCTAAGTTATATCTTTAGGTCTTGACTTTACCTCATTCCCCATACAGCTAACAGGAAATTAAAATTTAAAGTGAGGTCAAGCCTTTAATGAATTACATTATAAAATACAAATTTGCTTTCTAAGAGGAAAAAGATCTCTTCAGCCTAGCTTGATCAAAAAGATTTCACTCTAATTATTGGAAACAGAATGATCATCTTAACTCTACATTCTTTTGCAAATTTGGTCACACTGTTAGCCTTGAAGTCACGTTTCATTATGTTAAAAAGTTAGAAGAAAAGCAGCTTTATTTTATTACCTCTGTTAATTTAATGATAATTTTCCTATATGGTAAAAGATCTTCTCTGTTCTTTGAAGCTGTAATTATAAGATGTGTTTTCTTCATATAAATACTTTTATCGTTCCCAATTTATTGGCAAAGTTGCCACCTATGAACCCTCTTCTTTTTAATATGTAACAAATTCTAATTAAACATTTATGTATATTGCTTTTTAATAAACATGGCCCACGACAACAAAACAAACAGCAAAATCAACAAAATGCATGATTTTTGCTAATTTTTTATGTGCTCAAATAATATACAAGTATTTTTAAAAAATAAATACTAAACGAGATTTTTCTCCCACTTTTTTTTTTTTTTTTTTTTTGAGAGATACAGAGCACACACAACCAAGGGAGGGGCAGAGAGAGAGAGAGGGCCAAATCCAGGACAATTTATGAATCCTAAATTAATTAATTTTATTCATGTTAAAAAATACAGGGGGTTGCCTGGGTGACTCAGTAGGTTAAGTAACCAACTCTTGATTTTGGCTTAGGTCATGATCTCATGGTTCAGGAGTTTATGTCCTGCATCTGACTCCATGTGACAGTGTGGAGGCTGCTTGAGATTTTCTCTCTCTCTCTCTCTCTCTCTGCCCTTCCTCCACTCTCAGTAATCCATTATTACCTTATTTTCTTGAGCTTCTAGATATGATTATCTTGTCTCATCAAAGTGAAGAACCAAGGGGAAATGCACACCGAATATTTAGAAAAGCAATTGATTTTCTTCTTGAAAATATTCTAGAGGCCTCTGATTCCTCTAGTTTAAGTGTGGTGCATGCTCCACTGTTGTCTTCCTGCGACCTCTACTCCTTTTTGTTTGGTTGCTTTCTTTCCTAGTTCCATCTCTTTATTTGGCACTATACTTCTTTGTTTGGCAGTATAGATTCCAGTAATTCTTTGAGTGAATGGGAGGAGTGGTATTTTTTATTACTAAAAATGTCTTTTTATCCTGTTCTCACACTGGATTGGGAGTTTAAGTGTTCGAGATGAGGTTTGGAAATCATTTTACTTCAGAATTATGGAAGTATTGCTCTCTTGTCTTTGTTGTAGTTAAGAAGATGCTTTTCTTATTCATGGTTCTGGTCTCTTGCTGGGGTGAGGAGGTTATAATTGCCTGTCCTCATAGGATAGGCAAGGGTCCTAGAACCCAGTCACACTTGTTCTACAGCTTTCAGTTCTGATACTTCTGAGGTACCAGTTTCTTCTAAGTCTCCTGCTTTACTGGGTTTAGGGGACTACATCTCATGGGATATCAGCCTCTGCAGGGAATTGAAATCCGAATTTTCCATCTGTTTCCATCCTTTATTTTCTTACCTTTTTTCCCACTGGGAATCATTAGACTAAAATTAAGAGGGTAACTTGTTAAAGCCTGTTAATTAAATATAGTCTGCTTAACTATGTAAAAATGCAATCTGCTTTTAATTCATCTGGTCCAAGTTTTGTGGTACACGTGTACAATCCAAGAAACTGTTAAGCAGATGGGTTCTCCTAGGGCATTTTTACCTTAGATCCATTATTGTTTAATTTTTTTCAACTTGACAGATTTTTAATAAATGTTTCTTTGTGCCTAGCATAGGGTAGGGCATATATACAAGAGACCCTTGCTTCAACCCTTGCAGTGTTTATTTCTTTTTTACGAAATAAGTTGGGTGGTACAAGTGTATGTGCAATAAATAACAGGCTGTAGTGCTTCAGAAGAAGAAAAGATTATTCGGAACAGAATATTCAAACTTTTATTCATCTTGTAAGTCACAGTGGCAGCCTGGATCTTAATAAGAAATAATTTGAATTTGTGATTATTTACTGATAAAGCATTCTCCCAGAAACTGTGTGAAAACTTTACCATGTAACTGCTGCTATCAGGTCATTTATACACCTAAAGTTATGAAGGCACTCTTGGGTACATTTTGGCCAGTAATGAATGCTTTACAAAGCCATGTCTACTTTAACCTCAAGAGTAGAGGAACAAGCAGTTTTTTATCTTGAGTGTATTTTTTGATTTTGTTTTCAATTTTCCTCATGGACATTAGGTGGCACTGTTGTGATTTGTTATTCAAAGGATGACTATTTGCGGTCATCTGTATTTGTGTTTGAAATTTAATTTCTCCTATTTTATAACCATTAATTTGGTGTTTATTTTGTTGCTGGTTCATATAGTACTGTCAATGTTTGGAATTTAAGAAATTCATGCTCTTAAGAAATATGAAAAATATTAGCAATGTAAATGTTTGTTTTATTGAATATTTACTCCTTATCAAAATGTTCAGTTATCAGTAATACTAATTCATGAAATCTTTCTAGGAATTGGTGAAACAGAAAGTGAAACGTCAGTTGACAAAACAGCAAAAATCAGCTGTCAGACGTCGATTACAGAAAGGAGAAGCAAATATATTTACAAAACAACGGAGAGAAAACATGCAAAATATTAAATCAAGCTTGGAAGCAGCTAACTTTTGGGGAGAGTAATAAGTTTAAGATCTTGAATGTTTTCCAAAACTTTACTATGATCCCCCTGTTAAGCCGCCTTAGTCTTTTCTAGAGGAAGGCAGATATGTAAATAGAAAAATAAATTCTTTCATATATAATTTGACTCATTTGGTATGTGTCTTCTAAAGAATAATTTTAGTAATTTTGCTAAACCAGTTTAATTCTCCCAAATATTTTAGATTAGTTAATCTGCTAAAATCTAAATATCACTATTTGTGTTGCTTTTTATTAAAACAAGTAGATTCCATGATTTCAAATCCCAGTTTTTCCACTTGCTGGTGGAAACAACTTTAAGCAAGTCATATATGTGTTTCCCTCTCTACTTATCTACCCAGTTTTCTTACTGTTAAAATTGGATTTATAACTATTTAATAGGGTTGTGTAATACACAGAAACACCAAGAACAATGCCCAGTGCTTTATAAACATTCATTAAAATATAGCCCTTAGAATGATAGAATGATTATAATCATGTTTAGCTTTCTAATATTCTGCTAACAATTTGTTTTTATTTTATTTAACCACTGGGAGAATTTACTGCCATCTATTTTTTAGGCTCCAATATTTTTTTAGTGTTTATTAATTTGAGAGAGAGTATGGGCACGAGCTAGGGAGAGTCAGAGAAAGAGAGGGAAAGAGAATTCCAAGCAGGCTTCATGGTGTCAGCACAGAGTACAATGCAGGGCTCAGTCTCACTAACTATAAGATCATGACCTTGAGCCAGTATCAAGAGACATGAACTGACTGAGCCATCTAGGTGCCCCAAGGCTCCAGTATTAAGGATCAGCCTATAATGCATAATTTTGTTTTCTGCTACTTAAATTGGTAATATGATCATAGGAACAGAAAGTTGCCATAATCTCACCACAGTTTCCATATTTGTCAGTTTTTATGGAGGCCTGAGCAGAAGTGGAATAGGACTATAAGGAGGTAGGAGGGATAAGGAGTGAAAACCTCTTTCTAATATTCTTAGCTGGGTGGACAAAACATGTTTTCACTTAAACAGTAACAAGTATTTACTCTAGGAAAAAGAAAATACATAAGACATTGTAATACAAAGACTCTAATCCAGTGAGACGTGAAGGAGTGCTCAAGTATGTCTACCTGATGATACTCAAGTCTGCATCACCCAGTGGGCCAGAAGAGGGGCATCACCTATGGCAAAAAATGACCGCTAGATGGCAGTGCCATTCCACAGTCACCAGCCAGAAAGTCGTAAAGTTACCTGCATCAGTGATCATGATCTACCAAAGGAAATAACAGCAGATTTATTTCCAAGAATGATAAAGATAGCCCTTTTACCTTTGTAAAATTCATTCTTTTTGCAAGACCTATCATTATCTAATAAAAACCTTTAATAATATAGACACAAGAAAATGTCTAATTCAGTTCCCTCAAAATTAATGCTAATTTGAGAAGTGTATACCTGAGTTTTAGGTGTGTCTTCACAGCATTTACTAAGTAGATATACTTTAAATCATTTTAATAACAAAATAGTATTGAAGACAATAGAACTATAGAATATTTATCTTGGATTACATATTATATTTAGGGTATCAGAGGAAAACTGGGAACGAAACTATCATCCTACTAGGACATCATCCTACTGAGTTTTTTTCAGTTGATGCAGTCCGCTTTTAGGTACCTACTACATAAAAAACATTATTACTTGAGGAACTTTGAAAGCCAAGTAAACAGCTCTATCCTGAATAGCCTCAGGTTTCCTGTGGTTCACAGAATACGTCTAATACATAAATCTAAACAAATTATTCAGTGTCTAATCAATAATTTTTAAATGTTTATATTTGAGAGAGATCGTGAGCCAGGGAGGGACAGAGAGAGAGACAGGGATCTGAAGTGGGCTCTGTGCTGACAGTGGAGAGCCCAATGTGGAGCTCAAACTCCCAAACCACGAGATCATGACCTAAGCTGAAGTTGGACACTGAATTAAGGTAGTTATCAATTAGAAGTTGGAGTTTGGTCCATCAGACAAGTTGTAACCCTCACATTTAAAACATCCATAGTGAACAATAAGCAAAAACAAGTACTACTAATGTAGTCGAAGCAATGTACTATGATTATTAATAAAACACTGAATCTGCCAGTTCCAAACTTAGATCCTGGTTCAGCCACTTCCCAAACCTCAAGTGCCTTATGTAACCTCTCTAACCTCACTTTCTTGATTCATGAGATGAGGACATTTAAATAACATCTATAAGAAGCTTAGCACAATGCCTGATACATGTTCTATGTTGGGAAGTATTGCCCAAATGATTTCAGGTTACCAAAACAAAGATTCAGGGGGAATCTTTTCCATTTCCAAGGTCAGTGATATTTGACCTGTGATCTTTTTGGTGGTGTTTTCATCTAGATGTGCAAATGCTTTGCTTGTAACCTTGCATCCTCTACTTGTTGCTCCCATTAAATAAGTTATTTCCTACAACATAATGCATTTTATACTTGTGATAAATATATATATATATATATTATAGCTCAGTGATATTGGTAGCCATTGGTCTGTTCTTTGGTGCATAGCTGGCTGTCTTTAAACTTTCTCCAGAACCTTTAAAGAACTTTAAAGGCTACTAACTAGCAGATAATCATTCTTTTAGTCAAGTACTCAGTAGACTTTATGACAAAACACATAGTTGTCTAGTTAAAGAACTTAACAGGTAAACCTACAGCCCAGAGGTTTACCAGCCACTTCCACAAGGTGGAGGGATGAGTTCATTAAGTTTTCAGGGAGAGTACTTCCCTGAGGTACAAGTTTATTTGAAGTCACATTCAATACTCTGGGTGGCTAAGGCTCACCATCTCCATTGTTCTTCATCTCTCTTCAGAATATCTCCCTATAGGGCATCAGGCCATATCTCAGTTTGACCTTGATTTGCTGTATGAAGGTCTGGAGCCATCTTATGCAACTGTAGAAGGCTGGGAATGAGAGAAAGTTCAAAATAACCATGAGTTACACAGTTGTGTAGTAACTAGAAGTGTGGGAATAACTCCAAAGTCTACAACCCAGTGAGGGACTAATACTGTTACATTCTACATACAAGTTTTTCTTTTGCCTTAATATTGTAATAGGGACATTAAAATTAGCATTTTATGTAACATTTAGAATCAGATTATATACGCTTAATTCCATAAATAGGAATGTGCCTCATAATGCAAATAAAATAACAATCCTTAGAATATCTGTCACAATATTACATGGTTCCATTAAAAAAAAGTAGCCACTTGAAACGAATGAATCAAAGGTGCTTACTATAGCTGCTTTTAGTAGAAGAGATTTGGCTTACATTAGGAAGAAAAATACAATGTTAACATATACGTTTTGCGCGTGCTTGATGTCTAAAGATAGAGAGTATATAAACTTTTAAGATAAAATTTTTGTTGACTGAAAGCCTCCACTATATTTGAAGAAACAATAATAAACATGCAACAATTACAGGGCAGTGCAAAGTCAACTGTACTCAAGAGCCTGATACCATTGATCTCACTGAGGAACCATTGATATCACCAAGGACAGTAGATAAGTGAAAGGCCAGAATGATTTGGTGAGTTATAAGGAAGAGGGATTTGGTTGAATAGGTAAACTGAAAAAAGAGCTTGCAAAGAGGACATCATGCAGAAGACAAATAAATGAATGTAGTGTGCTATGGTTAGGAAAGGGGTATAGTGCAGCAAATGACCAAATTAAAGATGATTTTAAAACTTTTTTTTTTAGAATTTACCTTGAGGTATTGGAAAAGGAGCAATTACAGATTTTGAGCAGTGTAATGATTTGATTTTGAGGGTGGTGGGGCACCTGGCTGGTTCTTGATCTTGGGATCATAAGTTCAAGTCCCACGTTGGGTGTAGACATTATTTAAAAATTAAAAAAAAAAATTTAAATAAAAAATGAGAATAAAAGGCGTGGAAAGGGGAACTAAGGAAACTTTGTCAATGTTAGTAGATTGGACAGAATCTTGAACAGAAGCTAAAATGTTGCCCAGTTTGTGTAAGTATTAATGTTTAGACAATCTGGGATAGAATATTATTATACTGAAGGTGGTGTAGAGATTCTTTATTAGTTTGTTTTTATTTTAGAGATGAGAAAACATTTTTAGATGTAAAATTACTAGCCCAAAGTCACATGGAGTGAATTGAGTTGGGAGTAGGTGGGAGGAAAAGATGGAATTGATAAGTACCAGAAAGGTGTAAGGTAGAAAAACCAGAGTATGCATGTGGTTTAGACTTTGTATCCAGCCCAGGGGTCCCTTTTGCAAAGTCACTAAGGTCCACAAACTGTCTTGTCTTCCTGGTGTTGTAGAAGTATGAGAGGAGACAGTCCTTACAGCCAGGTCCAGGTTTTGAGACCTATTCTTTACAAAATTTCCTCCCTTTAGAAAACAGATTTTTTTTCCATGATTAGCCTTTCATTTTTCTCACAGGCCCAAGAAAACCCATCTCAGCAGACTAAAGCCTTACCTGGAACATTTCTGGTTGTTCATGAGGAGGTAGGAGGAGAGCAGGGTGATGAGGTGAGGAGTAGTACTTTTTCCTTGAGCTCAAGGCTACTGAGGTAACTGGAGAGGATCAGAAGAATGTATTATTCTCTAACTTGGTCTTTCTCTAGTTTTCAATTCATAGGAAAATAGGCCCTCTCGCTATGCAGTTTTCTATTCCTCTTTCAAACAAATTTTGAAAAGAAATATTTCTTCTATGTCAACAGGATGTATGCTAAGTGCAGTACTCTGGTAGTGACTGCATAGGAAGTGAAATGGAAATTATAGTTTACAGTGCGAAATGGATGGACGCAAGGCTTTTATCTTAATGTAAGCATATCCATAAATATAGCCTGAATTGAATTAAGAGTATACTAATGATGCAATCTTTACAGGAAATTTCATCTAAAATATACGAAGGTATGAAATTACTGGCTTGCTTGAACTCAGTTGATATCCATCAACTAATCTCAGGTTTAAGTCATTTATTTACAGCCAATAAACATTCTTTCTGGGTTTGTTTTAATCTAATATTATTAATATTTTTTGTAACCTAGGTTTTCATTTTACTTTGCTCATTACTGTTACAAAGATGTAAACATTCTAAAGAACTCATACTCCCAGAAACGTGACTATCTAAAGAAAACAAAAAGTTAGGTTCAATTAGCCTATCCTTTCTTTATAGGAGTCTCAACTCTTCATTGAAAGAGAGGCTCAAAGACTCAGCTGGAGTTCAGACACCCTTTTTAGAATCAATGTGATAACTCTATAGCCACAACCTGTATATTTTTTTTCTTGAACACCCAGCAACACGGACTGTCCTGGATAGCAGAAGGTGAGGGCAACGGGGAGGTGGTAAGGGGATGGTTCCTGTGAGAAAATGCAAGCAGAGGGAGAGGAGCCAATAACTAGATAGACTTTTATGAAAGAAAATGTTGTTGTAAAGTCCCCTGGAAAAAGTCACTCCCAAAACAAAAAATGTTAAACTTTTTTTTCCAAAATATATATTATGTTGGAAGTCAGCCAGCCACAGTTAACAGTAATCTGTTCACTTTTCCACAGAACACATACCTAATGACCCAAGGTCTTGGCATCAATATCTCCAGTCTTGTAAATGAACATTCAAATTCTCTCACCTTACTAGTAAAACCTCCTCTGGTGATATCTTTGGCCTCTAAAGTATTTCTTAAAGAATCAATTTTTACTTCTCTTCCAAGACTAAATACCAAGACAGGGTTGGGTAATTGGTAACTTAAAACAGTCAAGATGACATGACTCATTCAGGCCCCCAGATATATAACATATATATGTAACAGAAGGTTTAGATAAATGGGTGTACTTTCATTGTGCTTTCTGGTTAAGAGTGCTGATTCTGACTGCCCTGACAAGGATAAAGAGCAGTTCACTAGCAGTTTTATCTTGTGGGGAAGGATATTATTTTAAGAAAGCAATTTTTGTAATATTGTATGAAAATGAGGAGATGTACATTCTTTTAATCTGTAAATGGGATATTAATTTTTTAATTACCTTTTCATATAGTTAAACAGATTAGTACTTACTGATGATTTCCTAAATGTAGTGAAATATCAGGGTAAAAATGTCTGAAATAAAATTATTATCTGTTACCTGTGTCTTTGGAATTTCTTTTGTCAGAAATTGCCTTTCCAACTGACCCTCAATAAATACCTTGATTCAAATATCTCAGCGGCCCTTTCCCAGCTGAGAGTTAACAAAGATGATGTTAACCAGCTATTTATTCTTCCTACTGGTGCTTCAGTTTTGTTTAGCTAACATTAAACAATCATTAGTTATTACCTCAGCAAAGTCCGTTTCTTCAGGGCCTTGCCCTTCTTCACCCTCCAGAACACCATCAGAAAGAGTCCTGCACACAGGTAGCCCTTGACCCTCTTGTGCCAATCCAGCTCTCAGGGCCTTCCAGCTCCTTTCACCCATTTCTCATTGGAATCTGGATAGAGCTGCTATGTTCCCCATTATTTTTGTAAAGATTTTACACTCTCAATGTATTTTACTACATGACTTGAATTATTTTTCATTTTATTAACTTTATCTTAAATTGTAAATTTTTAAGAGTCAATACATTAGCAAGAAAGTGAAGAAATTATTTCAGGGAAGATAATCTTCCTGAATTTCAATCAGTGTCTTCTACCTTCTTTAGTCACTTGATTTCCTAGAGATAAGTAACTATAAGTTGGCTCAGGCTCATTTACCTAGGCCTATTTTTTATGGAGTCTGCATGCCTGATGCCTGGAATCTCACCATCTCTTCACTACAGCCTCACCTACAGGCCCATTCTCCTGTTTTACCTTCCCCAGCCTCTTCCTCCAGGCCAGAACAGATCATGAAGTGAGGAGGCAAGGAGGATAGTGGAGGTGTTTTTAGCTAAGGATGATTCTTTCATGTATTTGTTATGTTTTAACATTCTGGGTATTATTTCAATTGGTGACTCCCACTTCCCTGTAATTTTTGTACCTGTTATGAGCTGCTTAACAAAAATATTACTAGAATGATAGGAATAAATATTCTTTTCCTTACCAGCAAAATGAATGATTCCATAGATTCTTTTGTTGCATTGTGCATGAAACAGTGCACAATATACCACCTTGATTTCTCATCTTCTCAAAGAGTTCTGTACTCCCTGGGAGCTTAGTAAGTTATGCTGTTGTACTGAGTCTTTCCCTTTTACCGTTGGGTGATAAGTTTTGATCACTAAATATGTCAGTTGGATGGCATTTCTCACACATCTGAGTAGCATTCTAACAGGATTTATAAAAACAACATTTTGCTTTTCACTTTAGTCCTCTATCCTTGTTTTAATACTTAAGTTTTGCTTTTGGCATATGCCTACAGTTGGTTGAGGCTGACAGTGAAATCTAACATGTGAACTGTAGAATCTGCACTCAGTAGACAGGATTATCTCAGATTTTCCCACCTCCTTCAGGTACTTTCTACATCAAAGACATAAAAGGGTGAGAAACCACTGAGTTAGTTGTTGTTTTTTTGTTTTTGTTTTTTTTTTAATCTGTCTTACAACAACACTCTAGAGAAGTCTGTATGAATAGACAAGGAATAAATGCTTAGCAGAGGATTTGGAAAACTTCTGCTTAAACATTGGGCCTGATGAGAAAGAATAAACTATACTATCCAACTAGAATGTTGTGTAATCCACCTTTCTAGAATTCTTTTTTCATTTCTTCAAATATAACAAAGTAAATATCATGATTTTTTTAGAGTTATTTTTGCAAAGCTGTTTTAGAATTCTCTAAGCAGACACTCATAGTTTGTCTTCTTTAGAAAAATCTTGTGGAAATTGAAAATTAATTTTCTTAACGAATTCTTACCTTTCATCTTAGTTAGCATTAGTGATGAGTATCTTTGGGCTGTTTTGTTTTGTTTGTTTTTGGAGTTTTCTTTTGTCTGTGTGTATGGGGGGGGGTGTTGTGTGATGAGTATCTTTGAACTCACCCTATTAATTTCTGCTTCTCATATTGTTGAAAGGATATGAAGTTTACTATGGGATTAGAAGTGATCTGTTTGAAGATCAGTCCAGATTTTAGGAAATATGTGCAAGAGTTTTCAGAAGGCTAGAAAATGTGTGATAATATTTGTGGTCATTTGTAATATAGCTGTAGAATCATAGATGTTATATCTGAAAAAAATCATTCGGCTCAATCCCCTAATTTCCTAGATGAGGAAGCCCAGAGAAGATGAGTGACTTTTCAAAGTTATACAGGTAACAATGATCAAATCCTAGATCCTACTAATACAAAATTCAGTATTTTTTCCACCACAATGCACAACCAAAATATTTTTATATAATACTAAAGATAAGCCCAGTTTTTACATTATCGTTTCACTCCTTTGATAATTCCTTACCCTCTAATGCGAATCTTATATATTTTGGTTTCCAATTCAGTATCATACTGAAAGTATTTGAATTCATTTATACTCTGCGTCCAATTAATGTATAATCTTTTTTTTTCTATAAACCATCTAGTTCTCTTTTACATTATAAGCTCATGAATGGCAAAGATACTGATGATTTCCTATTTGGTGCATCCCATGTAAAGTAAAGTTCACTTTGGGACCCTAAATAAATGTCTTAACAAGAAGTGCTGCTTCTTTCACATCCTTTTTTATAATAATATCTTTGCACAGTGGGGCAGCCCTATGTCTCTATTGTATGTGACATATACTCCATGTGGGCATTTACTAATAGTCATTATGTTAAGACTTATTATAACAGCCCCATTTCTTCTGTTTCCTTTTATTAAGCCCACCCTTCTATCATCTAGCTGAAGAAGCCTATCGCATGGAAAACATTTTACTTTTACATTGTCTTTAAAGGACTGTTTTCTTTTTTTTTTTTTTTAATGTTTATTTATTTCTAGGAGACAGAGAGAGAGACAGCGTGAGCAGGGGAGGGTCAGAGAGAGAGGGAGACACAGACTGAAACAGGCTCCAGGCTCAAAGCTGGCAGTCAGCACAGAGCCTGACGCGGGGCTCGAACCCACGAACTGTGAGATCATGACCTAAGCGAAAGTCGGACGCTTAACCAACTAAGCCACCCAGGCACCCCATTTAAAGGACTGTTTTCAGTTAATCATGTAACACAACATAGTTATGGAATCTGGAATTTGGAGAGCAATCTCTTTTGCATACTCTGAAAAAGTATTTTAAATAAAAGTAAAGTAATCCTTAACAAGTCTTCAATAAACTAACATAGATTATAGCCATTAAAATCAGTTCTTTTATATCTAGTATGAATCCTAGTTATGGCAATGAAATCTCATGAATTATGTTTATGTCTCCTGTGGAAAGACTATTTAACCTAGTATGGGAAATAGAGAAAGAATCTGTTAAAATATTTTAGTAACTACCTATATTCTACTGAAAAAATATGTTTTTCCTTCTCCTGAAATTTTTAATAGAAAGAATTACCACAAAATAAAAGGAAGTGAATGATAGAATTCATTAAACTCAATCTTGGGGATGATTTGCCTTGAGGAGACAAAACAAAAATAAACATTCCTAGGCAAGCCAAAAGACACACCAAGGTTTTACCTGCCACTACCCATCAGAAGTGACTATAACCTGGGTGATGGGAAAAAAAAAACACTTTTAAACTTGGCTCCCAGAGAGATGCTCAATTCAAATAAAAAGCATAATCTGGTACTTGGCTCTATCCATACTCTTTATAGCATATATTTACCAAAAAAGAATTTAGACTATACTAATTCTGAACTGAAAGTCCTGAGCTGGAAATTCCTTTTTTACTAAAATAATGTTTTTGAGAAATAACCTTCTTGATTTTATACTGGGAGACAGCACATTTGAAGATGGAGGACCAAAAGAAATACCGAAGTCAGAAAGCTGCACACCATTCAGGCAAAATCCGTTTGGAGAGGAAAGCTGGTCCCATGATTAGCGAGCTTCCCCAGCTAGCCTGTAGGTGGGTGTGTTTAACAGAAGGAAGCAATGGGAAAGCCTGTCAGCCAGCCTTTAGAGCTAATTAGCTCAGCATACAACAAAGATAAGTGAGCCTGGGAGGAGGGCCCCCTGAGGGGTCTTTAGATTCTGGGAAATGTCTGATTGGCAGATGTTAAAAGGGATTCTTTGGTAATCCTGTGCATCAATGAGCTGCACAAATTCAGTCCAGGACTGCAAGAATTCAGGCATGAGGACACTGTGCAGCAGGCTCACACAGGCAGACCCAAGATGGACAGAACCTTGGAATCCCTGAGACACATCATTGCCCAAGTCTTGCCTCACAGAGACCCGGCTCTAGTCTTCAAAGACTGTAAGTACTGAAGGGGAAAAACTTTTCTGAAAATAGTCCTAAACGTCTAGTCACATCCTATTTAAGTATGATTTCTCCTAAATCTCTGTAGTCGTGTGCTGTGGTCTAAGTGATATTTAACTTGTTCCTGACTTCAGTCAGGAAAATGATTTCATTTCACCTACGAGTATTAGTTGCTGGGTTATTTTGTCAGTGATACATCTTGCTAACTGTTTGGAAATCTTTCCTAAAATATAAGCCTCACCTAAGACTTAATGAACTCTTCCAGAAGCTTTTTTTAAATAAAACAAGGCTGATTGCTAATGAGGTTAAGAACTAAAAATAACTTAGAAATGATAAATATTCTATATTTGTTAACCTGTTTAACCCTCCATAACATATATTAACTGTGTTAAGTCAAATATTGTGTTTGTCTGAAAATTTTTATTGCAAACAAACAATAATTAATCACCAGTAAGCACTTATATTTTGGTAACAAATTATAACACTTTAGTTAAAAGGCCAGTAAAATTAGTCATCCCACATCTGCAATGTCCCCATCCCCCAAAATCTAAATAGCTATGGCAAAGTTATTTCAAAATCTTTTTTAATGATTATGAAAAATAATTCAATCAAGCTCTCCAATTCTAGCAATACTATTATACCGTTTGTCATGTAACTTAGTTTCTGGAACCAATTTGATTTTCTGCGGCTGCAAAACAGGCTATCTTCATGTTGTATCTTATCTACATTGAGTTTCATATTACAAAGGGCTTCTGAAATAGAATTTTGCTATGGAACTGCCCAAAAGGTGAAATGCATATGGAATTTTTTTTTCTTCAATAAGTTACAGCTTTCTTTGTGAATCTTGTTATGTTTGTTTCCATCAAAACATCAATGCTTTGGATTTTTGCTCTCTGATTGCTGAATAATGTTAGTTTCCAGATGTTTTTTTAGTTTATATTTCTCATATGTGTGATGAAGATAAAGAAATGTTAGGCCATTTTATCCTGTAAAATTTTCTTCTTAGAAATTAAATTGTTACCAGTATGCCCTTTAATGGCATAGTGAAAGCCCTTCATTTCCTTCCATTCTTCCTTCCTAACTTTTTTCCGTCTTTCTGTCTTTTTTTTTTTAATATTGTCTTCAAGCATATGTCAATAGCTATGCTAGACTAATGAAAATCCCTCCCTCCCCCAATCTAGCCTGGAGTCTATTCAGGTTTAGTGTGTTTCTTTAAGTGAAAAGGGAAGGAAAGAATGTCTTTCTCCTACAATAGTACTGAATTCACTAGTGAAGTATAAAAGGGCTCTTGACCTGCTCAAAGCTTTAGATAAATTGTATAGAACCAGGGGTCTTATGCTGCGGGTTTGGAGAATGGAAGCTGTAAAAAAAAAAAAAAAAAAAAAAAAAGATAGAGGAGCAAGTTTTCATTGAATTTCTTGTGAATTCAAGAAGTTTACTCTGAAATTATATGGTCTACTTTTTAAATTGTACTAAATCCCAGGAACTGTTTACAGTTTAGCCAATAGAATAAAATAAGGGAAGGGTTTAAATAAAGTGTGCACATTATGTTCTGTCATCCAGACCTTTGCAGGAACTCTTTTCTATGGAAAAATAAAGAAGTGTCCAATTTTATATATTTCATTCATTAACATAGAACTCAAATTTGATCAGATAGCATTGCCTACTTACCCTGGAATGAGCTGTACTCTGCAACTGCTTGCATGGCTTAATAGGTGTGAGTATTAAACTCCTGATCCTCTCGTTTCAGGTGTTTCTAATCTGAAAAATGACTAAATGAAAGTAAGCCAAATGCCAAATTTCTACATCAGCAGTCTTTTATATAACATTGAAACATCCAACCACTCACCATCCTCATGGAATAAATGGGAACGGGCTTACTCACTTTCTGGGGCAGGACATCAAAAGTCTGTCTGGGGGTTATGCCATGCCTTGGCAACCTATCATGAACGTGCCAGAGGTTAGCACGTGGACTCATTTTCTTTGGCACACTCAAAAACTGCTGCCACCACACTCATCGTTTACACAGCTTGTAAAAAGCTGCCATCAGCCTTGAAAGGCAGGTTCTGAGCAGCCTCCTCTCCTCCTAGTCACTCCTGGCCCCACCCTAGTCCAGTCTCTTCCTGCCAGAAGGAAAGGGCTAAGCACTTGAGCACATCACTGCCAAACCCTTAAGAAAAATTGCTACCTTGCTTTCCTGCAAGATGAAAAGCCAATCCAAGAATTTTTAAAACCCAGAACAGTTGAACAAAGGAGTATTAAAAGATACACACACCACATACTCTAAAAATGGTTTTCTTAAAATGTTTCTTCTATAAATACAAAGATGGGGTTTTTTTCTCTTCATTATTTGGAAACACATAATCCAAGGGATGTAAATGATCATTTGATTAATTTTATGCGTTCAGTGGCTTTTGGTTTATTTAAAAACAAGCAATTGTAAATTGAATTTTCTCTTCAAGTTGGTCAGGAAAAGCACCCAGAGAGTTTTCTGGTCTGAGATGGATACACATGGGGATAGTTACATTCATTTAAAGAAATAATAATTTGGACGCTTTTCTCAGCCAAAGAGGCACCCAATAGCATTTTGCAATGAATTAAATCTCTCATTTGTTTTAGACAAGGTGTTCACCCAGCAATAGTTGCAATTTTTTTTTAACTTTCTTTCCTGGAAAGAAATGAATTCCATAAGAAGTTTTTTTTTTTTCTTTTTCCCCCTATTTCATGTTTCACATGAAAAACAATGCAAAGACATTTTAAATAAGATGGGGTCTCAATTTAATATTTGCTCATCTAAGCTGTCACTGGACTGTTCTCTACTACTTAAATGTCTCATATTTGTAACAAGTAGCACTAGAAGTCTCTACACCACCAGACAGAATCTCTTTACAGAGAAATTAAGGCATATCTCCATATTGCCTCCTGTTCTTGGCTTTGTGCAACATTCAATTTCTTTTCATTTGTCCTATGTCACAACCAAAGATGAGCTATCCTAAGAGTGGCCCTTGTCAGCTCTTTTGAGAGTGTGTGCAAGCTTACTATTTATTTGCCACTGTTTGACAGTTCCTCATGTGCTTTCTCAAAGGAAATCCACAGGATTTCAAGATGGCTGCACATTCAGATTCTTCTGAGTGTTAACTCTTCACATGACAAGGGCATAGTATGTTATCTGCCATTTTTGGGCTCACTCTTTATCCATTCCTAGTAATGCTAGGATATCAAGTTCTCATCATGTGATGACAGGCACTATGCTAGGAACATTTATTCACAAACAAACAGTAATGTAGGTACTATTGTTAATTATAGGTGAGGGAACTGAGCCTCATGGAAATTAAGGCGACTTGCCCAAGGTGACACTGTTAAATGAGTGATAGAGCCAGAATTCACCTTTAGCCACTACAAGACATTGCTTCCCAGAGGTGTTACATTACCATGTCATTTGTGCTGTTATAGGAAAATGGGAGAGGGGACAGGGAAGGAAGAATTGAAATGAATTCTTTTGCAAGTATGGAGGGAACCCATTAAATAGGCACATCTGAACAGGAGTATGGCAGGAGGGTCAGAGGGAAAGGGTATGTTTGAGGAGAAAGAACAGCTTGTTCAAAGAAGATCAGGCAATACAAGAACAAGATTTTGGTGTAGGTGGAGACAAGGCAGTAAAGGCAAGTGGAGTCATGCAGAAGTGTAAGCAACAGCGAACCATTGGAGTTGGCCATAATCCTAGATTCGTTCTGCAAGTTTATGGTTTTATGTTGCATTGGGAAAAATATTATATAGACATCTTTTGGAGGCACATTTCTTGATGCTAAGTTAGGGAGAATTTAGCTTTGTCAACAGCAAAAATCTTTTTGCCCATTCAGGCAAGATGCAAGATTTGCAAATGTAAACATACCTGTAGTGAGAAATCATTCTGACTGAACTGAAAACCCAAATAAAGCAAACTTTATTAAAATAGGTTGTTTAAAAAAAACTATCATAGTTGTCATTAAAGCCATGAGAATGTGTAGTTTCCAGCATTGACTGATGAGATGTTAGATTTCATTTGTATGTTTTATACCCAAATTTCATCATGAAAAAATGAGAAGTTTCCTTTACTAAACATTGCACAACTAGAAGAAAATTTCTCACATATTGGAGGTGTGTTAACTTCCATTTGGGTAACATTTTTCAGCATGAAAGGTTTTATGTATATCAGATAGGTGAACACTTCAAAAAGTTCATTTTTACCCTTTGAAAAAATTGGACCATACTATAAAACTATTAAAACCATCTTAGTAATCATGGTTCTGGCTGTATGCAACCCAAGATAGCAAAAATACTCAAGAGTAAAGTATTTTCCCATCCCATGGTTTTTAGTGGGAGTTATCTGAAATCTATAAATTTGATGATACATTTATGGTTTTTGCATTTCACAGAAAGAAATGGAGTAGGACGTAAAGGATGAAGGTACTTGTGCTGTAAAATCTCTACAAATATTGCACTGCATTCCACCACACAAAGTGTGCCTAAAAGAATATGATTTAAAAAAATAACGAAAAAAAAAACAAAAAAACAAAAAGAAAACCTTCACTGCTCACCAGCTTATTTTGGATTAATGACTGCATCTTAATTATAATAATTTGAACTCTGATAATTTTAGCATCTAAACTGTGTATGTCCATTCTACTGAAGCCTATTCAAATGCTAGTTTTACTTTATTACAGGATACAACTAGTTTTCTTTTAGTTATACTAAGAAACAAATTCAGATTTCGGTTCAGCTATCAGTGTCACAAGCACTGTATTCTAACCCTTTTTTTAGTAGATACATTTGGTAAAATTTACATTCTAAAAGTCTCAACCCCAGAGGAAAACTTTTCAGAATGGGAAAAAAATGGCTTCTTGATCGCTTAATGGCCATCTGTCTTAATATATTTATTTCTTAATACATAAGATTTAACAAACCAGAGTAAAATATGATCTATATCCATCCTATGATCAAATCTAGAACTTCTTCAT